TGGATGCACAATTTACTCAAGCGAAATATCATAGCAAAATGGAAAACAGAATTTTACGATGGTGGTAATTAAAAGGGTATTTGTTATTATATCAATATTGGAGGAGCCGCTATTTGTCAATCTGGTGCCTATGTCATATTAGAGATGTTTTTTCAGTTTGCCAAAGTTTGCATCAAAATACTGTATTAATGTAAGAATAAACGGGCTTTTGGAGACATGGGGATTTCAGTGATATTTTCATTACATTAAAGTTATCAATTACAGTTCTCTATAAAGGAAGGTTCTAGTATTTAAGGTAGACACTTTTTAACAAAAGGCTGCACTTCCACCGTTTATTATAATGGTTATGACGAATGAGCTTGATTTTGCCTTTAAGTACAATATTTTGACGACAGAATGATTTTGTAATGTTTATTTATGTTACAACCGAAATCGAGCACTTTAAATCGTATATCACATTTCGCGATCATCATGATATAGGTCATTCAAATAGCAAGTAACGAATATGTGGAAATATGTTTCATATCTTAGTAATGGGATTTTATACCCGTGTTGATCGTTTTCCAATAGGACATATCCTGCTGAGTTGTGAAGAGCTCTGAAAAGTTTGGCGGAATCGGGATATCAGTCTATATCAAAGGAATAGTAACCGTTCTGTATCTGTAGTCTCGACTGGAAACCAGTCAAAACGAGATATTTTATCAAAATATGAGACAAACAACAAATATTGGTGCAATTTCCTCTACCACAGCATCATAGAATGACTAACACCTACATTGAAGGCAATGAAAGCACGTTGGTTTTAAGTGGGGCCCATGCCCCATTAGATCTTGTCATGTTGGTAGGTAACGGGCGGGAAAAGGTGCATGCTCTTATTGGATAGTACGCAGGCTGGGACACATTAGCCTCGCTCTAGATACTTCCGGAAACATCTATAGAACGTATGCCTCTTATACGTGTAATCACGTTTTTCAAACACAATCCTGTTGATAGGAACGGTGAACTTCATAATCAAACTGTTTGTCTAATGCTAACATCCTTTCATGAATTTCTAAATTTCCTCGAGTTTGGTGTTTTTTAAGAAACGGTTTTCCATTTATGCAACATAAAATGGCCATTTAAATGATGCAATCACATTAAATGTCATGACCTATATCGTTAAAACTGAATCCATGTCGTACTAATCAACAAATGGCTTTTCTCAGTGTCGTCATTACATGAGCTATACGTGTTTACAGTTCTCCCTCTGTTACATAACAATCGGATGAACTCTGACCTACTTCGACGTATCTCATTCTTATACATTGTATACGCCAACGCGAATTCGATCAATCCGGGAAAAAAAGGAAATCACCGGTTTTGCTAGTAGCACGCTTGTTTCATTTAACTACATGTAAAACTTCCCACGTTATCTCGTCGCAACAATTTTCACGACCTGTTGGATGATAGATACGTGCTTCTGGTATTGTCAAACATTCACGTGTGTCTTACAAAATCAAATTCCTTTAGAAATTCAAAAAAGTTACACAAAAATTTACGCGATGCTAAATATGGTTGGAATCTCCAAAACCTATAATAGACAAAAAAGAAATGAACGACATGTTGTGTGCACGTCAATTATTAATCTGTAAATAGCCCTTAGCACACATTTCTTAACGTATTTATGCTTTCTTTATAACTCTTCTAGCTTCTATTCTCTTGATAACTTATGGTCGAGCACCTCTAGTTCTTTGTCACAAGGGATATAGATAGCATCAATTTCTTCAGAAATCAGAATAGTTAAAATGTCACATACAGATCGCTATTTTAGCCGAGGTCGTGACAGACTTATCCGGTTACCAAAAGTCAAATTACTTCATATCCGTCCTCATTAATCCACCAGTTAGCAAATTGTTTCACTGTCCTGTCAGTGTTTACTGGCCAATGAGAGGCTTCCATTAAAGATGTTCCAAGTCTCAAAATATCTAAAAATAAAGTTTTCTGTTTCCGTCCTGTTTCTCCCGTGCCTATAGTGTCTCTATGTCGCATTTGAATGATATTCTCATGATTATTCCTAATATCTTTATTTCCGTGCTAGATGTCACATCTGGTGGGAAATTTCAAGAGAAGCTTCCGAGAGATTCAGGTTGATAAAGGCTAGGATTAATGTCCCCAATAAGACCGGAGAATTTTATGTTTATGTATTGGAAGTCCTTGTGTGAAATAACGCCGATGTTGTCATACAGAGAACAAGATATTATACGTCATGACTTTGAACTAGATTTTAATCATCGACCATGACCATCGTTCAAGCCTACCAGAATTAGAAATCAAGGGCATGGCAGATTCTTTTACATCAGCCGCGTATCTAGACATCTTCCTGCAACGAAACCAAAATAGTCAGCTTTCCACCAATTATTATGATTTTAACTTCCCTGTCTTGAATTTTCCATTTCTGGATGGCAACATCCTTACATCCTCAACTTATGAAATTTACATGTCGAAGTTGATTCGATATTCAAGGGTTTGTTCTCTATATAATGGCTTTCGTGGAAGATGTTGGTGACTGACAAATTATGATACAAGATTTCGAGAGAAACTGGCCGATAAAGATTATGGGCTAGCTTGCCCTTTATGTTATATTAAGTCGGACACGTATAATGCTAAGTAGTTTACCTTGTGTTTTCGATGTTGTTTATCTTTATCTCAATTTGGAGCGTGACATTATTGACTTGGATTTATCAAGATTCACATTATGGGTGTCGTCGAAAAAGAAGAAGATGCTTACTCTTTCGGAACACGTAGTCTTATTCTCCTATAATGTTTTTCATGGGTCTCTTCGTAATGACGCTTTTACTTTTGTTACAGCTGTTATTTTGTTTCTGCTTTGTTTTTTTGCTTGTTTGTTTGATTTTATTTTTATTATAATTATAATTTTTATTCAATTTGATATTAGCATCGTTTCCCCCGATTTATCGAGTTTAAATTACATCAAGTTAGTGTTGACGTGAAGGTATTCTCGTTTGGTCAGTAAGGTCAGTTTAGCCACCATTCATAATATTGACCCCTAACATTGTGACTTCTGAGTTGGGAGCATCTTTCATAGTTAATATAATCCAATACACATTCTGATCTTTTGACGAAAATTTGAGTCAGTGAAATCGACCTCGGTTTACATATTACAAATTTTCACGCTTTTATTGGTTTTCCCTTTTTTCAATCCATCTATTGATCGCAATTTTTAAATCTACCCTCTCACTAATAACAGATTTCATGGTACATGTCTGTTTTTAAATTCATTACAGCAAATACACCATAAAATTACAAAATAATATGAGATATTCAAAATTTAAAAAATTTCAACTGATAGAAAATATGTTCAAAAGGAACATGATAGCACAAACACATTCGAATAATGAATACAACAAAAATGTTTCTCCTCCAAGATCTCAAACGTCCGACGAGACAACACTTACTTAGATATTACAACATTCCAGAACCAGCGTATCTAACGTGTTTAATTGAATACATAGAACTCCACAGCCGTAGAAACCTACCGGTAGGGAAATAAATCTAGTTAGTGATAATTACGCGGTAATTTGACGAATTAGGAACGGCACAAAAACAAAATATGTTGATTAAACTCCAGGAAGTTTACGACACATTATTCAAATGACATTAGGATTATTTTTCAACGCCTGTCTTTCAAAGAAAAGATTTAAAATACTTGTAGAAATTTCGATAAATCCAGAAGGAACTTTTGCCAGGTAAAATATCACAGTACTATCAACAAATGTCAGATACATAAAAACATACCTATATATTATTTAAAGTCGAATAAAAGGAAATGCTCAGAAATGTATCAAGATGATGCAATATAAATTTTTAATAGATATGAAACATTTCGTGTTTTAATCTTTGTAGATCTTACTTGAAAATTCATTTACATAGCTATTTTCGATGCATCCTTATTGGTACGCATTAGTGATATACACCTCTCTTGTAATTTTAAACTTCTATATATATATTTCCATCTGTGAAAACTTAATACGTTTTAGCTGTACTTTTTTAATGAGACTGGATTTATTTAATATTTAATATGTACACAAGTGAGAAAGAATATATAATAACAATGAGTAAAACACTAAGGTCCCGAATATGAATCATCTAAATAAAATCCTATCAGCTACTCATTTTTCCTTCTATAACAAATTTGATGGACATGTAAATTTGATGAAATGATTCAATTTCGACTACCATTTAATGTACAAACAATAACATCTGATAGAAACGAAATGCAACACATATATTTATTATACTTTCGGAAAACAATTTGTTTTAATAATTACGTTTCATATATTGACAAAATCATTTCATTTCATGTTAGGTTGATGTATTTCTATCAAGATATAGAGTTAAAATAATTGCTTTCTGTTCTACATTATATATTTTGTTTTATGTTTATAGATCGTCATATTAAGCACGTCATCACTGAGAGCATCATGTGACATCCACGATGGGACTTCTGTAGGTTCGGAAACGTCCTCAAGAGCAACCAACCCACAGAAGAAGAAGAAAACAGGAGAACCCCAGTAGCTTAGAAGATTTAAAAAAAAAAAATGAAAGACAAGACCAGAATATTTTGTTGACTGTGAATCAAGAAATACTCCATTACCCAAACACCTGTGAACGCACGTAGAATATAACCTCTAACAACGACGCCTCATGAATTTTTCACCGAAAATTTCTTCATTATCAGTCGAGCAACTCCTGACAACGCCTACATCTTTCCTATTTTTCGATAAGTTTAATAAAGAAGGTTTGCCGAAAGCAATGAATATACACTGAGGTACATCTCTGATAATATAAACGGATCCGAACACTCCAGCTAAAACACAAATGATAGAATTGATACATGTTTTTCTAATTGCAAACTCAAATTAGTCGTACACAACCCTTATCATTAGCATCCCCTGATTCTCAACTTAATGCTCTTTATAAAATAATGAAAAATGACTCACTTAATCTTCTCCCAAATTTCATCGCCGAAATTCCGCACAACCAGGAGCTCCAAAGCGTAGTTCACAAACCCGTACTGGAAAAATAAAAACAGCAAGCATACTTACAAAATAATGCACCGATAGTATTTTTTGATGTACAGCTCTTGACTTGTAAAAGTGGTACTTAAAATATCTAATTGTGTAGCCCTAAGTTAAAACGCGTCCATAGGTTCTGGTATGCTAAATGTACAGCTTATGATATGATATTCAGAAACACATGTCTTGGTTCTTATCTTTCGAACTGATTCATTTTCTATTGTTGTAATTTCTGTTGTTAGGAAAATAGCATTTAATTATCCATAGTGAAGTTTACATGAGAGATGATTAACATGGAATGGAAAGTTGGGTGTACTAAGCAATATTAAAAACAATTGTGCAAAGACATATAAGTGTTTGACATATTACAATCCAAAAGTAAAAAAAAAAGTTAGACACGGGATTTGTCAAATACTAAATTAAATTGCATCATACAGTCCTGCTAGTGATGAACAGACACTTCACATCTAAAACATAAAATCAACTGAATCATTTTTTGAAATATAGATGGGGAGATGTACTAAATTTACGATTAGGTTAATTTTTATTTTTTTTTATAATTTCAAAAGAACGACGCATATATTTAGAACTTTGCTACTATTGATATTAATTCAAACATGACATGCAGAGAAAGACACATTTTGGGGAAATAGAGTTTATCCTCAGTAAACTCAGAGGATTATACAGGAGGCACATGGTGAAACCTGGAATTCCTATAATGAGTCATCGTAACATTGTCGGTCTGTTAGCTATTTTTGGTCTTGAGAAAAGGATTCCCCTCTCATGTCTCCATTTTCTTGCATTGGACGTTTTGGTAAATATATAGGCAGTACATCTAAAGAAAATCTAAAAATATCCCTATGTTACTATATATAGCAGGATAAGCACTGAGAATGGCCGGCATCAATCAAGTATTTCTATCTAATAACGAGGCAACTTTATTCTAGCTTGATATATCCCATCATGCATCTGTCCCACCTCTCTGGAGTTCCAACCAGAAATGTACATTTTTAACCAAAAGGGAAATATACGGCCAGTGAAATCGATTGTGCCTGGAGGTCTAGATAAGCAGGGTGCTATATCTGAAATCACATAATGAACGTCCTAATCAGTCGATGAAATATTGTTCGTGAGAGAAAGTGAACAGCGTGCTTCTTGCTTGTGGGGATTCATTGGTTACTTTAGCCTTCTTTCATTGATCTACATTAATTTACATGGACGTGTATGTCGCAAACAACGTGCTTCTGTACATGTAACAGTGGGCATGCACTGACTGACCTCGACATCAGTTTTGGGCTTATATATTAATGGGAGGTCCTAACATGAATTTGAATGCAAAAATAAGACCGAACTGAAATGCCTTTCAGCAAGTCTCAAAATTCAAATTTACCTTGAATGTATCAAACAAAAGGTGCGAACCAATTAACAGTTTATTGGAGACATCTCGAAACTTAAAGAAAGAAACAGATATTTCAAAACTTTAAGAGATGTGCAGCTCCAATTAGCTACATACTGATCTCAATAGTGATTTGATACTCAGCAAATTTTGTCAAATCTAAAACAAGAATATTGATACTGTAAATAATTCTACGATACTGAAAGCATTTGCGTGACGAAATTTGAAACCCAAATTCCTGTCCTATAACGTTCTTATCGACATAGAAATATCAAATCAATGGTAAATGGCTTATTTAGCACCAATATCAGTTGATCAAAGACCCCGCCGTAAAATTACACTCTCTTTTCACGGAAACTTACCAAGTAAGATGATATGAATGAATTCTTAATTTTGACGTCTGTGATTTTGAACAAGGCCACATAAAACCTGATTATTCGTACCTAGACTGAAGAAAGTGGATACATTTCTAAAACCGACACTAGTTTGCCTTAAGCATGTCTGAAATCTGCTCTAAAAACATTAATGGTGGTGTTTAAAACCAGGTATATTATCGATATAGCAGAACACAATCACATTTAAAAGGTATTGAAAATATAAACGTGATGTCCAGGTAGTGTTATAAACGTCATGTACATACCGAGTACATATATTATACATATAAGTAAATTATTTATTTAACACACGAGTAATAATTTAAGTAAACAACATCCTAACACGAGGGCAATTTAGGGTTACCAATCTCGTCACAATCTCAACCTGGTGCCTCGTGCACCTTCTCCAGACTGATGACTTGTCACAAGTCATTTTCCGAAGTAAACTTCATCAACCATTACTGTTTCACTATGATCTAGTTCTCACTTTAGGATTGTGAACTGATGTGGCAGTATTTCAGTGTATATACAGCGAATCTCACAACGTCACTATGATCTAGTTCCCACTTCAGGAGTGTGAACTGATGTGGCAGTATTTCAGTGTATATACAGCGAATCTCACAACGTCACTATGATCTAGTTCCCACTTCAGGATTGTGAACTGATGTGGCAGTATTTCAGTGTATATACAGCCAATCTCACAACGTCACTATGATCTAGTTCCCACTTCAGGATTGTGAACTGACGTGGCAGTATTTCAGTGTATATACAGCCAATCTCACAACGTCACTATGATCTAGTTCTCACTTTAGGATTGTGAACTGATGTGGCAGTATTTCAGTGTATATACAGCGAATCTCACAACGTCACTATGATCTAGTTCGCACTTTAGGATTGTGAACTGGTGTGGCAATATTTCAGTGTATATACAGCGAATCTCACAACTTCATTATGATCTAGTACTCACTTTAGGGTTGTGAAAGGCAATGTGATATTTCATGGTAACCTTTACAGTAGGTCTCACTTTAGGACGAAATCATCAAAATGATCGAGTTTCTAGTTGACAACATCTTCGTCCAGTTTGATAGTAAGATCTACCAACAGGCCATTGGCATACTTAAGGGAACTAAGTGTACCCCTCTGTTGGCCGACTTGATTTTGTTTTCAAACGAGGCTGAATTTATTGAAGAGCTAATCAAACCAGGTCACAAAGTCCTTGCAATGTCTTGTCTTTAAACAACAAGGAATCTATTGACCATGTTCATCATATATACCCACCAAAATTGGAAATCAAAGACATGACAGATTCTTCTACATCAGCTGTTTTCCAACAACGAAACCAACATGGGCAGCTTTCCACCAAGCTGTATGATAAATGTGGCGATTTCAATTTTCCTATTATAAATTTTCCATTTCTTGATAGCAATTTACCTGCATCCCAAACCTATGGTGTTAACATGTCGCAGTTGATTCGGTATTCAAGTGCCTGTTCCAATTCACATGATTTTCGCGCAAGAAATGTCGTCAAACTCGTAATACAGGATTTCAAAGGATGCAGGTTGACGGAAATTATGGGGAAGTTTTATGGTCGCTATAGTGATCTCTTAGAAAAATATTACATTTCTTTGAAAGATATGAAGATGGACGTGTTTGTTTCTTGGTAGTTTGCCGGTTGTTGTATACCTTGTTCTCATTTGAGAATGTGACATTACTAACTTCTTTTAACCAAGGTTTACATATCGTCGATGAAGCAGAAAACGCCTACTCTTCCGAAACATCTGGCCTTGTTCTACTTGAAAACACCTGGTCTTGTTCTACTTAAACTTTTTCATGAGTCTTCGTGTAAATAGTCCTTTTGTTCATATTTTGCCCGAACTATGATTATGTTGTCATGTTGATACTACTTAGATATTTTTCAGCATTGTTATTGTCTCTCAGGGTTAACCGTAAACAGGAGTGATAATATTTCGGTGTATACTCTAAACTTAATCTCACATTTTCTTTATAATGGAGTTATCCCTTTAGAATTGTGGTATTGTAAGGTAAACTTTACCCACAATTTTAAAGAGCTATCAGAAACGTGTTCTCTTAAGGGATGCCAGATCACTGTGGCGGTATCTCTGTGAAAACTCTGAAGCAAATCCCTTGGCCAAGAGTCTAACGCTCGACACCTGAAGACTATTGACTTCTGACCTTATGTATGTTGGCTACCCTATACAAACCAAGCCATGGCTTGTCCATTCTTTGCCAAAATAAACGGTCGATACACACCGATGTATTGATGTACTTCCAGCTCCAGCATCGATGCTATGGTGTTATCCGTTTGTTAATTATACAAGATACTAACGAACTACATTGACAGAGTTACAGCTTATGCTGCGCAGCAAAGCATTCCTCCAGGGAAATGCCTATTCAACCTTTAATTATTTTGAAGTTTACCGGTTTCAGCATTACTAGACTTTTTTAACTATTACAACCATTGTTAGTTGTTATTATTATTCGTTTTATCAGTTAAAGCATATTATCGTTATTCACAAATGTATTTTCATTTTCAGCTCATGCCTAATTTCGTTTGTGCGTAATTGTTGGTGTGTTTGTTTACTTTTAAAATATTTTGTTTTCATTTATATTATTTCATTTATTTTTGTGGGGGGGTGGGGGTGGGTGGGGGAGGGGGTTGTTATTGAGTTGGTGATACCTATAAATTTAACTAAAAGTAAAACATCAATAATACCTGTGTTGTTATTATTGCGTACAATTCCGAGATGTGCACAAAATATATCCGGTACATAACGCCATTTTTCTCTTTTAATATGAAACCTCAACATGCTCAGTTATAACTGACAGTCCTAAAGACTGATAGTTATTTACTGGGACGGGAATTGAGGAAAATTAATGAAAGAAGGAGTTGGGGAGGAGAGAACCGTCAGAAATGCTAACATGGGTCATGAATTTTGCTGATAATGTATCTGGTCCAGAATACCGGGTTAAACCAATTGAAGTGAGCTTTCAAACAAATGTAATCCTATATTATTCTTTATAGGACCTTTATAGTCAATAGTGACGTAAATAAAGGTTGACTCTCACGGTCTGTTGAACAATTAAGTAAATATCGATACATCGATCACAACTGAAGGTTTAATCTTGAGAAAATGTCGCATATGGTGGCCCATCGGTGTTCAAACACACCTACTTCCGGTACACTTCACGGAAGATAAATATCAAGAGG